CAACGTAAGTTGCTGGACACTTGTCTGCATAAGATCACTGAAAGTTGCAATACTGTACATTGTACATGTAGGCCCTGCATGATGGTGTACAAGTATCCTGGCTTTCATGTTTCAATGGGCTTTCCAGCTTGTAGTTCACTATAGAGGAAGAGCATTGAGAGCTCAGACTAGAGGATGATGATGAAGAAGAAGAAGAAGGCATGTTATGTCAAAAGGTCAAAGAGGTTAGCACTTGCACTGTCATGGACCTGAACTCTTACAAGCCAACCCCCACGATCACATTCCCAGATGTCTGCTCGAGTACCGATCTTCCATCCATCGAAGGCCTGACCAATGTTCTGTGGCTTTGGTTCAAGGGGAGGATTATAGGCTGCAGCTCCAATGTACATGAGCACAACATCAGCTACAACTGTACCTTCATTGGTAATAAATACACCAGCATCGCATCCATCCATCGGCTTGGTTTCATGAAGGCATGCCAGCTATGCCAACTGTGTTGATAGACATCCTCGACTGTTCTGTGGACACTGCTTTGGACAGCATATTTCAAATGCAAGCACTAACATGACTAAAGTCACTTCAATCCATGATGATCTTTGATCAGATTTAAAGATTTATCTCTATACAGTAAGGTTTGAAAAGATGGGTCTTTATGTATTGTAGGCATATAAATCAGCAGGACTCAACAGTAGAAGAGGACCAGACCCAAAATCCCAAATGCACCCCCCCCCCCATGGAGCCCCCCCCCCCCCACCCCACCAAAAAACAAACAATAACAAAAATTAACAACAACAAACAAAAATATATATATAAAATAAAAATAATAGATAAATAAATTGAAAAATAAATATATAAATAAATTAAAGCAAATACAGTACCAGTACACAACATGTAAATAACTAATGTGGTTCTTCAACCTTGCTGTATTTCAAAACAGAAACACATGAAAAGGCCATAAGTGATGATCGAAACAGGTGATTGCAAGTGTGTAATTGAGTAATTGCTCTTGGATTTATAGCCGGCAAAGAAATATTTAACCTGCACGATACATTTGTAATGTTGTACTAATGGGCAGTGAAAACAGCTTCAGTTGAATATCTGAAATCTTTTCAAGCATTTCAAATTATTGAAGCACACTTCAAGTATTCTCATATATACAATCATAAACATTACACATTTTTACAATGAATATATACTTATTTTTTCCTTCAACTGATATTTGTTGGAGGTTTTTACAAACATCTCAATACACTTCTATGGTACATTCATAAACATATATCCAGAGAGTCAATGAAAGACACAATCTTCCAATGTGTTGATCACTCAGCACAAACAGTGATTATAAAAGATACATTACAGAATAACCCATGTGTCTTCATGTATATACAGTACACAGAGTGATATTGGATGGAAGAGCTCTTCTGCCTGTTCTATTGACCCTTTGAGTGACTTCCTGACTCCTAGCTCTCTTCACTTCCCTTTTCCTCATATAGCATGTGTGTCAAGAATGGTACATGGTGCCATGGAGACCACAGACAAAAACATGTGTTGCTTCAAATTCAATAGCTTTGTGCTTCGTTACAAACAAAATGAGATGATTGAAGGCCTTGCATGAAAAATGAGAAAGTCCATTGTTAGGCTGGTATGAGATCTTCTACTACAAATAAGATGAAATCATTTGTTGATGATTATAGTAGTGGCCTCGCCGCCTGATACAATCATTTCAAAATTACCTTTATCAGTTGCTTACATGTGTACATGGTTCTTTCAATCTTTGCTTAACATGAATTTCTTTTTTTAAAAGCTTAGCCTGTATTGTTACTCACATCATTTCAACTTTGATTTCTAAAGATTTGCCAACGATCACATACAGTACAAGTAGTTACAAGAGACAAGAGAGATTCTATAACATTCACTATAATGAGCATGGTGTGTCAAAGAAAAGTAGGCTACACATGTATGATTGCACCCAAACAAGTGTTCAGTTAGCACTGGCCAATCATAAAGTCCAATGCACAGATTTCAAGGATAACAACAATCTATTCAATTACATGAACAAGCATTATGTGTAGATCTACACCGTACATTATGTGTAAAGATAATTTCTGTGTAGTCTACTGGTGTTTTGTCAGGCAGAAAGTCACTACCTGACAGTTCTGAGTCTTTGTTCCATTGTCATTGTACAAACACAGTAACTCTGCTACAATACAATACAATACAATAAAGTCATTTCTATAGCGCTCTTACAAATTAACTGTAGTTTCACAGCGCTTTACATTAATCTACAACAATCATTCTTCAAGAAAAAATTGGGGTCTAGAAACCGTACTGGATATGTCTAGTTTTGGCTAAGTTAATCGAGCCATGGACCTCCACGGATTGAGGTAATTAAAAGAAGAATTGGGTGGTTTAAATGGGGTAGGGGGTAGGGTCCAAAATGGGTTGGGACTGACTGACATCAATACTAAATCTGTACAAACATGTGTAAGAACAAGTCTATCTACTTGTTTAGTACAATGAATGCAAGCTACATGCACATACACTGTACATACACAAACCACTATAAGTTAGAAAAGCAGATTTATCAAGAAGGAAGGCGCATTTCTAGAGATTTCCTGAAGGATTTACTCCAGACTGTCACAGTTCTCATGGTCCTGTCACCACTTATGAAAGGAATAATGGCACTTACATAACAGGGCGAACAAACATACTGTCAAAGGGCGAACATAATGGGGACTTAATAATTATACAGGTAGTTTTAAGACATTAAAGGGCCGACTGACACTTTTCCAGAAAATGTCTACAACTTAATGGTAGTATCAAGTACTATCAACTATTTGAAGGTACCAGCATTATTCAGTAACTAAGTAATTTGGTAATACATGCATAAACAGTAGCCAGCATGTGTAGGTTTATGTATCCCCCCCCCCCCCCCACATGTTGGCCGCCACGTGCAAGTAGAAATTCAGATGCAAAGTAGGCTTGAAAAAATAAAAGTGTTGTGGGCACTGGGCAGCAAGATAAAGAGAGAGGCACACGCATGATATAAAATCATTATCTTAGACTAAAAAATGTTAAGATAGGCCTATAAATTTGTATAGCCAGCTACTTTAGTTCTATGATTTTACCAAACATTTGTTATAAAAGAGGAACAAACAACTATGGCCTAAAATTCACTATTTCCACAATACTCTAGAAGCTGAATCTTGAAAAGAAAGCTAAATTTCTGACAGAACTTGTAATTTAATTCAACCACTTATCATATTTTCACTTTAAAAGTGCTTTTTAAGACAATTTCTGTGATTCTAATAACCACTAAAGACATACATGTACATGTACTTAATACTGTACATGTAAGTCAATACAAAACTCTCTGTAGGCCTAGTCTTTTAAGTACCGATACACCTACATTTCCATGAAAAAAACATAATAATTTGTGCGATATAAGTGAACGCACTGTCCTCAATCAAGCTATTTATTCAGCAGTGTTTTTATTACTACCAGATGTTACAGGAAACCCAAATTTCCTGAACAATAAATCAAACAACTAACATTAGGACGTAGGAAAACAATGTTCCTAATGTTATCAGATGAATAAACATTATTTTAAACAAATTCAATACATCGTTTTCAGTCATTGAAAACAATATTAAAACTAGAGGACTGGAGGCCAATGTATTTTAGAACTACCGGTACATGTAGATGTTACATGTACTTGAAGACAAATAATGCTCTTGGGAGTTGTAAAAAACAGGCCCATTAAAGCAGATCCATAATGAAAACGTTAAAATGCAAGCCTGCAGAATGCCATAATTTATAATTAGACATTAACCTCAACTCTCATCCATCAAGTTTTGAAAAAAATAGCTTTCATATGACCTTGTTTATCAGAATTTAGTATCTGGTCAGCAGACAAGTAAACAGGGCATGCATTAATTTGTGATTTTGTGTAAACAGTAGCAACTACAAAAAGGTTTTTAATTATAAGACTACTAGTGCGCTTGGCACGATAGAAATGGACAGTGAGTAGTCAGAGGAAATATTATGCAATCAAAGCAAAGATAAGATAAATTAGAAACTTGCATTCCAGGTTGCTGAAAGTGCTGACAGTGTGGTTTGATATTTTGCAGGCCTACATGATGTACAATGTAAGGGCAGTTTTGTCTAAATTGGAAGACTGATCTTTGATTATGTAGAATCAAAACATGAACATATTTGCCATTAATGTTTAAAATCTTCTGCTGAGAATAACAGCCAAAAGGGCATTAACTATGAGTTTGTATTTTGATTATATTTTGTATGTCATTCTTGCAGTTGTTCATCAAAATCAGATTCAGAGACAACTTTGTCAAGAGAAATCTAACCATTACAGCAAACTACTCTAGAGGAAAGCAGAACGATCAGAGAAAGAGACTGGTGAAAGTTTGAATGAAATGGGACAATGAGAAAGTTATGAATTTTTAAAAGTTGTAATCACTATAAGTATGGGCACTCCAAATTGGCTGAATCAGTAATATCTCTGAGATGTAGTGGCAGACAACTTTCCCATTTGCTCCAACACACCAACAACAAAAAACTTTTTTTTTTTAGTGTACAACTCAGGTCCAGAGGACCTGTAATAATATGCTATCCATAATATATTTTGAGTAGCACTCCAAGGATGAAGGCACTTAACAGAAAAACAAAAATTAATGATATTTTAGTACACAACAAACAGGAGAGTTACCCACGACCAGTCAAAATAAACTAACCAAACTGCCAATTTGAGAGTAGCCTACAAAGACTTACTGATGCCATATTTCAACTATTCAAAACTTTCTTATTTATTGGTCCCATTTATTTCAACTGGGAAGAGAATGTCAAGAACTGGAGTGGACTAAAACTGCAAGAGTGCACCAGAATGGCAGAAGATAGAGTGAAATGGAGAGATGTTGCAATCAACCCTCGAACCGGGAGAAGATACTGAGATAGATAGATTATTTCAAACTTTCGCCATATTATTTCTCATATTTTTCTGTTTTCAGTAATTACAGGGGTTGGATTGCCCTTTGATTATCAAACTCTTCTGCTCCAACAGTTCGCTAGTTTTCCAAATCAATAGTCTACCGGTATTCATTATTCAAACATCAAGAGGCAGTGCAATTTTGCTAATACTAAATTTATGTTTACCGGTATATCATTTTAACCAAAAATATTTTTCAATGAACACTTTTCTGAAATTAATTAAAAGAAAGCTTACAATAAAAAATTTTAAAAATGTAATATCATCATCATCATCACACTTCTTCTTCCTCCGATCATCATCCTAATCATCTTTGTCATCATCATCAATCATCATCATTGTCATCAATTTCTATCTTACCTCATAGGACCAAGTACAATCAATGCCAGCAAACTTCTTGATACATCGTCCGACTTCGACATCTTCGTGAGTGCTCCACAAATTCTTTAGACAGTAGCTGACATGAGGTATCATTTTCCGGAGGGTGGCACGACTGAAAACCATCCCAGTTCCTCCCATGCAGAAATTATCATCAGATTCCAAATGCAATAGCCCCAACTCCTCCACTTTCCCTCGCCCAGCTTGCCCTATGAAATAAGTGTGACTGCTGTTCAACGATCGCAAGAAAGTTTCCATGCGATCACCTCGAAGGTACACATCATCGTCTGCTCGCATAAACCACTCGTATTTGTCTATAAAATTGTCATGCATGTATTTCAACATCATGAAAGATTTTTTCTGAGGTGGGTAAGCATCTGTTACACCAGGTAAACTTATGACAGGAAGATTCCATTCTGGCGGGACATTGGATGCCCCACTCGAGAAAAAAGCAACTTGCCCTGGAATCGTCTGCGCCCAAGTCCTGTTCACAGCCACAGCTCGAGTCTCTAAGAAAATGGCAGCCGTCATAACGCCGACCATTAACAGGTTTTTCGAAGGGTGATTCGGTTCAGGTGTCGATAGAAATGGATCGTTTCTTTGAAAGTTTGGTGAGTTGCACGAATTTCCCGCCGGGACCCACACCATCCGGAGCCAGGTAGCCAAGGCGAACCCGATCACCAAACTCGCCAGCACGTTGGCCAACTTACGGGGCCCCGAACTTCTGCTCGACCCCATCGCTTTCGGAACAACTTTGCTCAACTTTGACAACGAAGTTCCACGTTCTCTATCGGCTACCCGATGCAATCCACTGCTTTCATACACTTTACTAGAAGTCATCTACTAAATATCACTATATTCCAACGGGTAACGAATGATCATAACTTCAAAAACGGTAATCAACTCCAACAATTATATCCGAGGCTCTCCAAGCGCAACGCCATGTTTACCAAGAGTGTTGAAACATGCCTGCTTACGTCACCAAACTCTCGCTACTTATACTACGTTGCATGTGCATGCAATGTACTGGTATCAAGCTAGCTCTTGACTTGTATCTTGAAAAGGATTGATCGAGTTGAATACAGGCTCCCAAGTGATTAATTCTCGCCTCCGCCTCCCTGCCTCTGCCCATTGACGATTAGACTCGCCATTCGCGTGGTGTAACAGACATAATTTAATAATTATTAAAAAAATAATATAATGACGATCATGGTTCAGTAAGCTTGGAAGTCCGCATTGACTTGTCAAGTTTCTCAATATTTCATAATTAATGAGCGATTTTTTTTTAATGCTTTGAAGAAAAACAAAAAAGAGGCTATTTGCAGGATTTGATCGAGTTGAATATGATTCATGATATTTCATAAAATGGGCGATTTTTTTTTTAGTGCTTAAAAAAAAGAAAATTAAGACAAAAACAAAACCTATTTGCAGTCTAATTGACATTACATTCGGGCAACTGAGAAGAATAAATGTCTTGTGTTTAAGGTTTTATTAGGCACATTATTTATCATCATCATCAAAGTAGGCCCAAATAACTTTGTGCTTTTTCTTTGACCAACCCATTTCAACCTTTCTGGGGTATTTGATTTTTTGAAAGCTTAAAATCGCAACATGCGGCCTACTGTACACCTCCCTGGATTAACGAATGAAATGTAAGAATAACTTTCTCTTGTTTTTTCTCCTGAAAATTGAAAGTTGATTACAGTGATGACAGAAGAAAGAGGGGGGGGGGACCTCCTCCCCACCTCCTTCCCCTCGAAGTCAGTATCGCCATACCGAAGATGTCGAAGTGAAATTTAGATACCTTACATTTCATTTCATTATTCTCAAGGCCTTATTTGTTATCTGTAGGCCTATACTTTAAAGTCGTCCTCCTTTCACAGGCCTAATTTATTAATTGCACGCAAAAAGGGAAAACTTGGCAAATCCCAGAAAGGTAAGAGATGGCGCTATTCATAATAATGTTACAGTCAACACAAACTTGACTACTGCGTAGATGGGTGCTCTCGAATGATTGATTGATTGATTGATTTTTATTCGACAAGCTTCCAACATACAACAATATACAATAATAACAGATAAAAAAAAAGTCAGCTTGAACAGGATAACCCACGAAAGCTCGAGAGCTTATTTCCAGTGGGGTCCCTTACAGACATGTATAAAATTAATAAGTTAAAATAGTAATATGTACAGACAGATAAGAAAATTAAAAGAACTACTTGTTAAGATAATAATAATAACAACATTAAACTGATGATAGAAATGATATTAAGTACAAGAAGAAAAAGAAGAAGGAGAAGAAGAAAAAGAGGAGAAGGAAGAAGAGGAAAGTAATGATGAATTTGTAGAATTTCTATAACGTACGAAAACATAAGTATATACAACATGAAAAAGTATGAACCGACAGAAGAATAAAAATTTCAATCATATAACATGTCATTCACTTCTCTTCTCTGACTGTCAAGTATTAGGTATTCCTTTAATTTCCTCTTAAAATGATCATAGTTTCCTATTTCTTTTACACCATTGGGAAGGGAATTCCAATGTTTTATGGCATTGTAATAAAACGAATTTCCAATACTACCTACTCTTTCAGGTAAGTTAAAGTTGAATCGTCTATTTCTTGTATCATAATCATGTACGTCAGTAACAAGATCGAAGTTGGATCGAATATAATGATTCGACCTAGTATGATATATTTTATGCACATGATGCGATACGAGTTGTTTTGATCTTTGGTCGACTTCAAGAAAACCAGCTTTAGAAAGTTCGCTGTAGCCAACATGAGTTCTTGGACCAGAACAGTTGATAAATCTCACCATTTTGTTCTGTATAATCTTCAACTTATTTTGATCTGACTTGTTTATGTTACTATACCATGCAGGGTTAGCATAGTCAAATAAACATTGAATAAGAGCAAAACAGAGTGTACGTCTTGCTTTTAAATCCATACAACTGTGATATCTGTACAAAAATTTCAGACGAGAATTTGCTTTTTTTACAACTGATTCTACTAAAGATGAAAATGAAATTGCGCTAGCCAACTGAATGCCTAAATACTTCACAGACTCTTTTCTCTTGATTGCTTGATTATTGTGTGTCACTTTAAATTCAAATGACTTTTTAGAACTACTTTTAGAACAAAATAAAATGCTTTCTGTTTTTCCCAAGTGTAAAGAAAGCTTATTATCAGTCATCCAATCGACACACGTAGACAGCTGTTCACTGAGCTTTTCCTCAATATATTTAGGATCAGGATTTGAATAGAGTAGTACGCTGTCATCTGCGTACAATAATAGTTTGAAGTCTTTTATACAAATACACATATCATTTATATAACTTGAAAATAGAATTGGGCCTAAAATGCTTCCCTGAGGAACACCGCAAGTTATAGGCATTAGTTTGGAACGAATATCATGAATGGCCACTACTTGGTGCCGATTAGATAAGTAGGATCTAAACCAATCTAAACTTGCCTTATCAAAACCCATTAGTTGTAACTTCTTCAATAAGACGCAATGATTAACTGTATCAAAAGCTTTTTGCAGATCAAGGAGCACCATACCAACAAAGCGCCCTTGGGAAGTTTCTCTCCTCAAATAATCAGTCAAATGAATTAGACATGTTTCAGTCGAATAATCATGTCGAAAACCAGATTGAAATTCATAAATTATATCATTTTCTTTGAAGTATCTTTCAATTTGAACACAGACCGATTTTTCTAGAATCTTTGATGCTACGCTTAAAACACTAATAGGTCTATAGTTGCTAACATCAGTTTTATCTTTCTTTTTATAAAGTGGAGTCACTTTTGCTATTTTCATATCCTCTGGAAAAGTACTCGTCAAGATAGATAGGTTCATTAAGTAACTTAGAGGCTTAAATAAAACCTTCGCACCATCTTTTAGAAATTTAGCTGGAATCAAGTCTAACCCAGTACTTTTTGATACATTCAACTTACGTAACTCTTTGAAAACAAATTGTTCACTGATTGGTAATAACTCGAAGCTGTTTTCACGTACACCTTTTCTTTCGTAAAAGTCACGAATACAATCATTGTCTGCGCTGAAAAAGTCTTTGGAAGGGGGGAGTTTTGTCTACTAATTTGGCAGCCACATTTGTGAAATGAGAATTGAATTCATCAGCGATGGCCATCTTATCATGACATAATTCCCCATCAATTTTAATGACAGATTCTTGTTCTTTTCGCTTCTTATTTTTCAATCCTAAGCTTTTTAGATTCTGCCAAAGTTTTTTCGAATCTTGTTTATTTTCTTCTATCTTGTTTTGTAAGTAAACGAGTTTAGCCTTTTTCACCTCTCTTTGGACCATATTTCTTAATACTCTGTATCTTTTATAGAGCTTCTCATCTTTTGCTCTTTTCCTCCATTTTTTGTATACTATATTTCTCTCTTGAATTAGGGAAAGAATATCTTTAGTCACCCAAGTTTCTGATCTTTGTCTTATTCTTATCCGTTTCAGTGGCGCTATCATATTCAAATTTGAGATAAAAACATGTTGAAATATTGACCATGCCTCATTTACATCTGTACAGTCAGTTATTCGTGACCAATCAACAACAGATAGTTGAAGATTGAAAGACTCTTCTGTATATTTTTTCATGGATCTGATATCATTAGTCCTGTGATGACCTATAGCCAGTCTAACATTTTTCCGTGTACAGAAAGTAAAATAATGGTCGCTAATACCTAGATCAATGACACCACTTTGACTTATTTTATTTTTATTTTCTTTGGTACAACCAACATGATCCAATAGAGAAGAACATGTAGGTGTAACGCGTGTTGCCTCTTTAATGAGTTGACTAAACCCATGAAGACTCAACAAGTCAATATATTTTTTAGCCAGTGGCGATTTGCGAAGAAGACAAATATTCATGTCTCCTAAAAGAATTATTTCGTCATCCTTCTTTAATGTATCAAGAATATTGGACAATTTCTCGATAAACAAATTGTTTTTCGGAGGTCGATACAGAACGCCAACAACAATTGGTTTTGATCTTGGTATAAGCAAATTTATCCACAGGGATTCCGTATCTCCAGTACTTATAGCATCCATAATATTAAATGCAATATCATTTTTGATATAGAAACATACACCACCTCCAGAGCCAGAGGATCGATCATGGCGTATGATTTTATATCCGTCTATTTCAATTTCTTCATCATTTATGGAATTGTTTAACCATGTTTCAGTGAAAGCAATAATAGACAGCCTTTTTCTTTTAAAAAGAATTCTAAGTTCCGATATCTTGTTTAGAAAGATAATTATCAAAGAAGAGTAAATAAAAATCACGCAAATGTGCGGTATTGTGGAGAGAGGGGAAGAGAGAGGGAGAGAGAGAGAGAGAGAGAGAGAGAGAGAGAGAGAGAGAGAGAGAGAGATATATAGAGAGAGAGAGTTTAATGCTTAACCCTTTGAGAGCGAGACCGCGCACGGTGATTTTTTTTTTGTTTCCCTGTGACGGAGCGAATTCGGTTACATCGCCAGTAATGGAAAATTTGGTGGTGCTTTCTACTTTTATTGCTCATTGCGCCTCATTTAGACATTTTAGTGATTTTTAGTAAATGTAAAAATTAAAGATCAGACTTTTTCCTTTCTAAAAATATAAGTTTTGTTTATCAATACGAAAAATAAGGTCTTTTATTTTTTAGGGGAATTGCCGTCTTATTTTTCTGAAGCTTCATATCTTTATATCTTGTACCATTGTTTATGTTTGATTTGGTTTGAATAACTTGAACTTGAACTTTCCTTTTCAATACACTCACAATACAAATTGCGTAAGCACCGCCGCACGCGCAGATTGGTCGATACCTCCATTCATTTCCCCATTGTCAATGATTGTCGTCTGCTAAAGCTCGGCCGATTGATTGATTGATTGATTGATTTTTATTCGACAAGCTTCCAACATACAACAATATACAATAATAACAGATAAAAAAAAGTCAGCTTGAACAGGATAACCCACGAAAGCTCGAGAGCTTATTTCCAGTGGGGTCCCTTACAGACATGTATAAAATTAATAAGTTAAAATAGTAATATTTA